TGAACGCAGCAGGGGAGTGTCAACGGGAGTTGTGTATTGGCACCGTCCTCGCCAGGGCGGAGCCGACTTCATCGTTGGGTGTGCGGTGAGCGCAGCCGACCTGCTGCAGTGGGACGACGTCTTGGGCGTCTGGACGGCGTCCTGGGCGCCTGGAAGGTGTCTTGGGCGCCTGGACGCTGACCTGGGCGCCGGGACGCCGACCTGGGCGACAACCTGTTGCCCGGTCGGCTCAGTTACCCGGGCGACGGGCACTACGGGTTGCGGAAGAGACGCCCAAGAGGTTCGTGAGAAGCCGACCTTGGTGTTGTATCCTGAGGTCGACGTGGAGGATCAGGTGCATTGGTGGGCACATAGTCAGCTTGGCGCTTGTGCTGTGAATGTGACGAGGCACAGAACGCCAACCAACTGCGAGCACTTGCGAAGCAAGTGCGCTGCTGTCCTGCGGGTGCAACGCTGTGCAGCCGCCTTGCTGCAGCGTTGGCACGCCGTCGACTTGCAGCGTTGGCAGACTGCATCATTGCAGTACCATGCAGTGCTGTAACCGGTCGACCGTGCTGCACTGGCAGTCAGCTTGCATGCTTACTAGCATCTGGTGTAGTCCATTGTTGCTTTGCATTGTGCACCATTGTTGTAAACTTTTGCTAGTGAAACATTTGCAAAATCTCCCCGTGAATGAGCAAGTAGTGAGAGCACAAGCAAACAACCAAGGAACGAATGTTCCGATCACTCCTACTTCGTGCCTACCCCGTGGTTCTAGCTCCCGTTGTAAGAGTTTTCTCCGCGGGTCCGCCCCCTCACTGATGAAGAATTCACCCCCTCTTTTTCCTCCTCGTTATTCTCCGTTCGACAATCGCGTCCTGAAACAGGTTTGTTCTGCCACCCCAGATGATTGGTGGGCAACCCTTGCATCCCCGCACCCTTCTCCTCCCTCCCAAGGTGATTGGTACATATTGGCTGACGACCTCTTCGTTCCCCCCTCCCTTGTCTTTAAAACCCTCCACTTCTTCCCTCCTTTCATCGAAGTGTCCGATTTCACGGTCTCACGCTCGTCGCGTCTCTCCAAACAACCCCGTGACGCTCGGCGAAGAGAACTTCTCTTCCGCCTATACACCGGCTCGCTCCCTTTCGTCGCGCGCTTCTAATTTTCTAACGACCGCAGCATCTGCTCATGCTGTACCTCGATGACGTTATATACCATCTCGCATATCGTCTTGATACGCGGTGTCATCCCTGTCAACGGGAGTTGTGTTTGGCTCCGTCCTCGCTTGGGCGGAGCCGACCTCGTGGTCGGTTGTGCGGGGGGATGCAGCCGACCTGCAGCAGTGGGCACGGGGGCCACTGCAAGGGCGTGGAGCTGGTGGGCGTCTAGTTGAAGGGCGCCGAGCAGGTGGACGCCGACCAGGGCGTCTGCTCGGCGTCCTGGGGGTCTGGACGCCGACCAGGGAGTCTGCACGGCGTCCTGGGAGGCTGGACGCCGACCTGGGTAACACCTCGGCATCCGGGGAGGCTGGACGCCGACCTAGGCGCTTGCTCGGCGTCCTGGGCGCCTGGACGCCGACTTGGGCGCCTGGACGGCGTCCTGGGCGAATGGACGCCGACCATGACGCCAGGACGCCGATTTGGGGACGCCGGGCTTGGTGTAACCGGCGTCCGACTGGGCTGGATGACCAGGCAGGGTTGCCTGGTCGACCGGGACACGTTTCTGCGAGGACGACCTCGGGGGTGGTATCCCGAGGTCGACGTGGCTGGCAAGCGCAGCCACTGCCGTGGACGTCTGCGCTGTGCTCGTGACAAGGCGTGGAGCACCAACCAGCTGCGCGCACCTGCGAAGCAGGTGCACCGTTGTCCTACGGGTGCAACGCTGTGCAGCCGACTTGCTGCAGCGTTGGCACACCGTGGACTTGCAACGTTGGCGCGCCGCATCTCTGCAGCGCTGGAGCGGTGCGAGCATTGCTGCGTTGGAACGAAGTCGACCGTGCTGCGCTGGAGGTCGACCAGCAGCTGTGCTAGCTCTGATGTAGTGATACATGCCAATGTTGTTGTAATCATTCTGAACTATCATTGTGATGTTTTCCTAGTGGAACTCTTGCCAATTCTCCCCGTGAACTAGCAAGCAGTGTATGCACAAGGAAACGACTAAGTGAACGAACGCAAAGATCACACGAGCACCCGTGCCTAGCCCGTAGTCTAGCTCCCGTTGTAGTAGTTATCTCCGCAATCTCGCCGTCAATACCACTCTCCGTACCGTCGCCCGACACCATCTAGGTCTCTTCACCGCCCCAGATTTCACCCTTTTCTCCCTACACTCGCGCGCCGGCCAATCCGCCCCTTGAAGCCTCTTTGTCGGTGCGGCTGTCAAAGCCATTTGAAACCTTTGCTGCGAAAGGAAATTTCAGGACTCTACCACGACGTGATTTGAAGCCCTCCAACTTATTGTGGCACAGTTTCTTATCGTACGTAAAATGATTCTCTGGCGCCTCGCCAAACAATCCCCTAAAAAATGCTTATGCACTGCCTCTAGCATCTCGCACGCCAAAGGTCTCCGGTTCTTCCACTTCCTCTAACGAAACTCGTTTTGGTCACCCGGATCTCCGCACCTCTTGGCTCATGAATGACACCTTTCGTCCCCCTTGAACTTCTCCGACACGTAAGATGCAATCCACGGCTCACTCCGGCGGCCGCCTATGGGCAGGGGAATAGCGTATATTGACGCACACCTTCATGGTGTTTATGTATATCGTGCATCAGAGTCCTCTTTGCAGTGTATTCAAGTTTGTACTATGTGTTTGTACGAGGTCACGGCTTAATAGAACCTTAAACCTTTGACAATGTGAAATTGGGGGCCATTTTCAGGTGCAATCTCTATAGTACAGTAAATGTCTTCAGGTGCGATCCAAATATGTTACGTCACTGTTACGGCACTGTACACACGTGCTGCAACAGTGCCATGTGCACGGCACTCACATCTTGTCCAGCTGACGGATTTTTTTTTTGTCTCTGACCCATTCTGACGAGAGTCAAACATACAACATGGCCAGACCAAACTACCCGAAGCTGTTAAGACTACCCGAAAAAACCATAATATAACCCCTAGAGAACCTGGAAGCAGTTTCGGGAGGGATCAACCCTAAACACAGGAACCCATCTGGTGTTTAGGGTTGATGCCTCCCAATTCGATTTCGTTCCGATTGGGTTTTTTTTTTTTGTCACGAAAACCTTACGGAAGCATCAACCCTAAACACCAGGAGGTTCCCGTGTTTAGGGTTGATCTCCCAAAATTGGGTCCAGGGTCACTATAGCTTTTAGTTTTGTTTTTCGGGGCATGTCTTAGCACTTCCTGGTAGCGTCGGTAAACGAAGCGTGTGTGAGCGCATTTATTTCGCATTAGGGCTTGTTCGTAGTTTTGACACCAGTGTCATTTTGGATTTTGACACGAGCATACATTGTTGGTTGGTATCAAAATTTCGCTCAATGTCAGCCTGTCAAAATCATCGGATACCCGTTCGCTTAGAGTCGCAACGCACACCATCCATCCAAAACCGTCGCATCGATACCTCTCACGATTCGCTCTCACTCAATCGAGAATCTGCAAAACCTGACTCAGCCATGGTCCACAAATCGCCACCCAACACGTGGGTGTTGGGGTTACACCGTAGGGTTGTGCCTGACAGTTTGGCACGTTCATAACAGATATTTCGTGTCCCACCAATGAGGCTTCGTCGTACACTTCCATGGGCGCGACTCGAGTTGACCCAACTGCAACAGTGATTGACACTGAAAAGTGGGCCGACTCGAGTTGACACGCATAAGCAGTTGGTGTCAAAACCACGAACAAGATCTTAGTTTCCCTCAGCCAGTACAGATTTGAGTGGCGTATCTTTCCAAGGCAGATTCCGGCACTTGTGTAGAGTGCGCAACAGAGATTTGGAAATATGCACCGGGATCACACCTGAATACATTTCCTGTACTGTAGAGATCGCACCTGAAAATGGCCCGTGAAATTGGTGTTCTCCTAAGTGCAGTGGCTTCAATTACCGAAGTTTTGAGGTGCGGTGTTGTTGGCCCTAGTGTCTAAACAATTTCCAGGGGAAGACAACTTGACAAACCACGCGAAGTTCTGGCCAAGGGAAGGGCGCGAAACTCCGGGGCGCCCAGATGAGCGCCGCGCGGGAACTGACGGCTTACATGGGTTTGATTGCTTTCGTCGGGCCGCTTAGTAAGCGAAGCGAAGCCTGAGCCGTCGATTATCTTCATGTGTACGAAACCATCAAGAAAACCCTGGAACAACCAAGCCGCACCCACCGCTACGGATCTCGAAAGTGTGTGGGAGAGGGTCTTCTGGTTGGCGCATTGGGATGGGGCGCTTACGACACCCAACCAATTCCGTGGACATCGGCCCCAACAACTCCCGTCAAGCTGGCCTAGATGTCTGTCAGAAACCGCGTCATGTCACACTGTCACGGGCGGCGCCGTATCACACCTTAGCGCCTTGGGAATTGGAATTGGAACACCACAGGGTGCGATTTCAACTGGTCCACACAACCCCCCATCCCCCCCTCTCCCCCCCCCCATTTCAGCTTTCGGAAATCCGAACCGAAGGGGTCGCCTCGTAGAACATCGAACCATCCTTTTCACCAATCGATTTGGTCCGAGATGTGTGGTTCGGTTATAAAGTTCCCCTATTTCCCCTAAGCGCCCGCTGCAAGCCTCTCCCCGTTTCATGCGGCATTGAGCTTCCCGCGCGTGTCCCTCGATTGTTTCTGGTTCTGGTGCCAACATCCAAGCCAACGGCTCTGAATGTAGGCAACACAAATTCAGTGCGCAGGCACTAGATTCAGAAACAGATCTTTTGTTTTGGAACCAAGCCTCACGAAGGCTGGCCTCTTTCGGGCCTGCTCGAAGGTTATCACCTTCATTTTTATACACTTGTGGGACAGTAGTCGTTTGTGAACATTTGGTTTAGTTACTCGACAGTTGCTGAGGTTACGCATAACTTCACAATGGGTCTCAAACGGCATGCGTACGAGACGCAAACCAACTTCCTACCAGCATGTCTCCTCGTCGCCTTTTGCCTCTTCGGCGTCTGGCTGTTCGCCAAGTCAGGGCATCCGCCACCAACGGTACGAGTTCGCATCGCTTCCCAATGAGAGAAGTAACAAATTAAACACGCGTCAACAAATAAGTTCTTCAGTCTGTGTTTTAATCTCGCACCTTAACCATTGCCAGGCCACTGAAGTGATTATTGAAACCTCTCGCGTGGGAACCGACGGGCAGGTTGTCGTGGTGGAGGACAGCGTCGACATCACCGAGACACCCGACTCCGATGTTGGGGAACCTAAAGTGAGCATCGCCATCTGTCTTCATTTATCTTATCATCCGATCAATTTCAGGTCCTCAGTGTAAATCGTCCCCGCTTTACCTGCAGGCCGTCTTCTTGCAGCCGGATTCGTCCGCTGGGGATGTAGAGAGCTTTCAGTCTGCGGAATCCGCATCGATAGGTGGCCTATCCAAGTCGCCTAAGGACTCTGAATCCACGGAAGAGGTAACCCATCAATACGGTTTCCCTTTTTCCGTTTGTCTGATTATACATAGTCAAACGTCGCTCTTTTGCAATCCACAATTGACGTTCCGATCTGTTGGCCTAACAGCAGGAGCCGGAATTGGCGTTTGAGTACTCGCTGTGCGCCGACAAGGGCGTCGACTTCATTCCGTGCCTCGACAACGAGAAGGCCATCGCGGCGCTCAAGTCGCGGTCGCACTACGAGCACCGCGAGCGCCACTGCCCCACAGGCGACGACACCTTGCAGTGCCTGCTGCCTCTGCCCAGCGGCTACAAGCCCCACATCAACTGGCCCGAGTCCCGTGATCAGGTACTGCGCCTCTCCTTCCTCAGTCGGCTTAGTCTGAATATATTTCTGTCAGCGTCGAAAAGTTTAGTGCCTGACCACGGTTCCCGATGCTGGTGCAGATCTGGTACGACAACGTGCCGCACCCGAAGCTGGCGTCGTACAAGGCGGACCAGAACTGGGTGAAGCCCGAGGGCGACAAGTTCATCTTCCCGGGCGGCGGCACGCAGTTCAAGTACGGCGCCACCAAGTACATCGAGTGGCTGCAGGAGGCCGTGCCCTTCCTCAGCTGGGAAGCGCAAGCACATCCGCACGGCGCTCGACATGGGGTGCGGCGTCGCCAGCTTCGCGGCGTACCTGGAGCCGTTCAGCACGCGCGTGATGTCCGTGGCGCCCAAGGACGAGCACGACGCGCAGATCCAGTTCGCGCTCGAGCGCGGCGTGTCGGCCATGATCGGCGTGATGGGCACGCAGCGCCAGCCGTACCCGTCGAACGTTTTCGACATCGTGCACTGCGCGCGCTGCCGCGTGCCGTGGCACCGCGAGGGCGGCAAGCTGCTGCTGGAGCTCAACCGCCTCATCCGCCCCGGCGGCTACTTCGTGTGGTCCGCCACGCCCGTGTGCCCCAAGTGCAAGGCCAAGGAGCCCGACGACAAGGAGATCTGGGAGGGTAAGTCAAAGACTGCTTTTTCACGAATCGCCTATGTTTTTTGTCGCGGCTTGTCGGGCGATTATCACCTTTGCTGCTGGAAAGACGATGAATGCGGTACGTCGGTATGTCGGTATGCTCTTCATTTTCCCTCCTCTGGCTTGCAACCCTCCCCTGTGCGCGCAGCGATGTCGGAGCTGACGGCGAACATGTGCTGGCGCAAGGCGGCGAAGGAGATCAACATGGCGTTCGGCGTGGGCGTGATGGTGTGGCAGAAGCCCACCGACAACGACTGCTACGACAGCCGCGCAGAGGGCACCCAGCCGCCCATGTGCCCCGAGGAGGACAACGCCGACGCCGCGTGGTAAGCGCGCGTGGTGCCCCTCGTTCGCCCCCTTATTGCATGTGTATCCAGCACCTCGTATGCTCCTGATGCTTGAGCCTCCGCCTCTTCGCTTGTCGATTGTCCCTCTCCTTGCACCTCTCTTTTACGCGGCTCTTCGACTCGTTGCTCCATTCATGACGGCGTGCGAAGGCTGTCGTGCGAATTCAATAACTCAACCCCTCCCCTTTCCTTGTCATCCGACGCAGGTATGTGCCAATCCAAGCGTGCATGCACCGCGTGCCCACTAAGGAGAAGACACGTGGCGTTGGGTGGCCGGTGGAGGGCAAGGACCGTTTGAGCGTGGTGCCGGCGTGGCTGGCGGGCGTGCAGAAGGGCATCTACGGGCGGCGCGCGGCGGTGGAGTTCGAGGCGGACAAGGCGCACTGGCTGCGCGCGTACCGCACGTACCTCACGGAGATGGAGATCGAGTGGGCGTCCGTGCGCAACGTGATGGACATGGACGCGCACTACGGCGGGTACGTGCCCCGCCACGCCTGTGGCCTAGCGAGAGAAGGGAACGATGGGAAAATGCAGGATAAACACAAAAGGAAAATGAAGGAGCACTAAAAACATGTTAATTTCGAGGGCAGTGTGAGCCAGGGGGATGACACTGTCGCAGTGCGAGGCATCTGAACGTCCCTTGTTTGTTCCCCCCCCCTCGCCGCGTCTTGAACAGGTTTGGCGCGGCGCTGGAGGCGTCGGCGAAGCCGGTGTGGACGATGAACGTGGTGCCGGTGACGAGCCCCGACACGCTGCCCATCATCTTCGACCGCGGGCTGCTGGGCGTGTACCACGACTGGTGCGAGTCGTTCAACACCTACCCGCGCACCTACGACATGCTGCACGCCGACCGCCTCCTCGGCGCCTTCGCCACCAGCTCCAAGTAAGCCCTCGCTCGCTCGCTCCACAGCCACCCTCTGCGCACGCCCTCCTCCCCTCCCATCGCACCCTTTCTCATGGCCCTTCGCGACCCTTGCTCATGGCCCCTACCCCATCAACCCGTCTCATGCCCACCTGAGTCCGTCTGAATCCCCTCTCTCTGTTCTCAGCCTTGCTCCTGTACTTCCTCGCTCCATACTGCTCCCCTTCTACTCGCTCTTGAATCCCTAGAATGTCCTTGCCAGTGATTCTTCCTTCTCTCCCCCTCTTCTAGTGATTCATTTGCACCCACTTGTGCCGTCCGTGTCTCACTGTCCCTCGCCTCTCCCCCCTCCACCAGGTGCGGAGTGGCGGACGTGATGCTGGAGATGGACCGCATCCTGCGCCCGCTGGGCTACGTCATCGTGCGCGAGGTGGACGCCTCGCATGTGCGCCTCATCCAGGCCGTGGCGCGCGGCATGCACTGGGACGCCGTCTCCAGCATTCAGAAGCACAACGAGACGCTCCTCACCTTCCGCAAAACCATGTGGCGGCCGGATCCCGTCGCTGACGCGACAAAGAATGAGGAGTGATGAGGAGTGCGGCCATGGAGAGGGCTTGACTTGGGGGTTGTACCCGTGGGTCTAGCCCTTCCAAAAGCTATACTAGGTAGTGTCTTTAGGCCTGCCATTCTACTTCCCTTAGGTGAATTGGGAGTATTATTCTTTTCTGACATTGTAAGGTACCACTCTATCAAATTATGGTATTAGACTCTCATTGTCAATATGTTTGAGAATGGTTGGCTTCAGAAGCAACTAGCTCCTAGGGCTTATTTTGTTTTTTTTTGGAACTTGTTACAGGTGCAACGGAACGAGATAGTGAGGACTGCACTAGGTGTCAAACGAGTACAACAGTACTATGAGCCAAGGCATGAGCGAATACTTCTACACGTAACATACAAACGGTAACGCAGTGCGTGCGATCTAGCTAGTGCTATGTCTAACGAGGAGGGATGATGGATTGATTAGAATGTGGGTACAAGTGCTAATCCTAAACTAGGTTGTACCCTATATGGGCTACCTCACTATAGCCTACACAGCACAAACATGATAACAGTTTGACACACCTTCATAGGCAAAGTTGGGGAGAACCAATGGTCACAAAACCAGTTAACAAAAGCAAAGCAAGCTCAGGGTGGATCACAAAGTCACCACACATCAGGGCCCAAAAGAGTTTTAGGATCACTTTTTCAAATCAGGGTAGCATGCCCTCCGTAACCTAACTGTTAGGGTAATTCCTAGTACACTGTTTACAGCAGCCTAAAATTCCTAGTACACTGAATTTAGTAGGGTATTTTTTCCAATACACCGTTTCTTTCACAAAGTCTTATATTCTGCTAACAGTCCCAAACCCGGGTGTGATGGCGCAAAAAGTTGCTCAACGGACTAATCGTACGAGCGCGCGTGCAGCCGCACTGCTTCTACGTTGGCGCGCCAGTGGGCATACCGTACAAATGGCCTGTCAAACATATGCGTATGTTATATTTGTGGGTAGGCTGTAGTGGGGTACCGGTAGATATTGTGGGGTAAAACCCCTTAGGGTTTTCTTCTTGTACCAAAATCTCTCGATAGTCAACTCATACCTGCCTAGTTCTTGATATGGTCCAGTGGGACCGTGGTGAATTTTGTTTTGGCGCGCACTGTGGCGGAATCCTCAGTAAAAAAAAAGGCCAGGTAAAAGTGCAGTTGGGAGTGTACCCTGATACAGCCAGCGTAATCAGAATTGTTACGAGAGTAGTTTACAACAAATCCTGATTTCACTAGGGTAAAAAATTTCATAGCCTGATTTCACAAGGGTAAGTGCAAAAAAGCGGCCTACCAGCAGGGCAAAAAAGGTATTTTACCATTGAAATTTGGGCCCTGCCACACATTCTGAGCACAAGCAAATGGCCACAAGGCCAGTTCACATGCAGATTTATATAAAGGAGAGCAAACAATACAGTTATCATTACCTAGCAAGAGTACGGTAAGCATGCAGGTATATATATACCGTAAACCCCCGGATATAAGACCCCCCCCAGTTGTAGACCCCCGGGTCTATAATACGGGGGGGGGGGGGGGGGTGTGATTGTCAATCCGAGTTATACCCCCCTAAATGGCACCTTGTCAGAATCCCAGCCACTAACCACTGGGATAAAAGGGCTTGTTATAGTAGCGGGTGAGTGCGCCCATAACCCCCCAGGCCAACGTGCCTGTAACCCTTCCCTAGGATCAATCGGGGATCACCAGTGTGTCAAATGATATATATGTGTGATACATATTGGTAGGCTGTAGTGGGGTAGATGTTATAGGGGATAATTCCTTAGGGTTGTGTTACTTGTAAAATTTCTCTCGATAGTCAACTTCACCTTGCCTAGCTATCTCAACATGGCATCTAGAGCAATGGTCCTAAGGACCTAAGATTGGGGCCCACCTACTCATGAGTTACTTTCCCTACAGCTATACCTACGTGCCTACCTTGCCTGCTGCCCGCGCGCGCCTCGGCTGCATGCGCGCGTGCATTTTTTTTTTTAGCGCGCCCCGCTGCCTTAGCCGCCCGCGTGCTCGCTGCTGTCACGCGCAGCTCGGCGCCGCGCGCAGCCCGCCGCCACGCGCGACCCGCCGCCGCGTGCAGCCAGTAGCCACGCGCAGCCCGCAGCCGCACGCAGCCCGTCGCCGCGCGCAGCCCGCAGCCGCACGCAGCCCGTCGCCGCGCACAGCCAGCTGCCACGCACAGCCCGCAGCCGCGCGCAGCCCGCTGCCGCGCGCAGCCCGCAGCAGCGCGTGCCCTGCCCTGCCTGTGCGCCACTGCCTCGACCTGAGCGCTTAGCCGCCCGTGAGTCGTGCGCTTACCTGCCTTACGCGCGGCCTGTCACAGAACTGCGTGCTTCCTTACCTGCTACAGTTGCCTGCTGCCTGAGCCTGCTGCCTGAACCTGCAGTCTTTGCCTGCTGCCTGAGCCTGCTGCCTGAGCCTGCTGCCTGAGCCTGCTACCTGAGCCTGCTGCCTGAGCCTGCTGCCTGAGCCTGCTGCCTGAGCCTGCTGCCTGAGCCTGCTGCCTGAGCCTGCTGCCTGAGCCTGCTACCTGAGCCTGCTGCCTGAGCCTGCTGCCTGAGCCTGCTACTTTTGCCTGCGCTACAACCATGGCGACCCTTACTGTTCTCGCCTTTGAGCCTGACGGCCGCCCCATCGAGTTTGACACCTGGCTTAGTGACCTGCGCCTTTATCTTATGACTGACGTCGCAGACGGAGTGTCACTGCTAGCCTATGTGACCGGCACTGTCCCTACTCCTGCTGAGACTGCTCCTGCCCCTGAACGAGCACAGTGGGAGCTCCGCGATGCTGTCGCGCGCCTTGTTATTCGCAATCACCTACCGATCTCTGAGCGCGCGCATTTCAACCAGCTTAAGACTGCTAAGACGCTGTATGATGCTGTCGTTGCCCGCTATTCCGCCCCGACCACAGCCACCGTTGGTAGTCTCATCCTGCCTTACCTGTTCCCAGACTTAGCCTCGTTTCACACTGCTGCCGACCTTATCACTCACCTCCGCGCTAGTGACGCCCGCTTTCGAGCCGCTCTTACCAACGAGTTCCTCGCCACGAACACCCCCCCGCTGTACTTCACCCTCTACATCCTCGTCACCCGCCTCCCTGACACTCTTCGCTCTGTCAGGGATTACTTCCTTGCCAAGGATCCTCCAACTATCACTCTGGACGACTTCGAGCAGCAGCTGGTCGCAGCAGAGAAGAACATCCTCGCTGTCGGTGCTGCTCGTGGCACTCCCCGCACTCCCCTCTTTGAGGGGTGCTCCCCCTCCCCTCTTGACCCCTCCTACGCCTCTGCTGCTACTGCTGTCGACTTCCTCGGTGCGGAGAAGGTCGCAGCGGCTTCCGCTCCTGGTGGGAAGCGTGGTGGTGGCAGGGGCGGCAAGGGTGGCAGGGGTGGCGGAGGTGGCGGTGGAGGGAGCGGTGGTGGAGGCGGCGGGGGTGGTGGAGGTGGTGGGGGTGGCCGTGGGGGTGGAGGCGGTGGGTGGGGTGGCGGCAGGACCGGGGGCGGTGGAGGCGGCGGCGGCGGTGGTGGGGGAGGAGGCAGCGGCAGTGGCGGTGGAGGTGGGAGTGGGGGTGGATCTGGCCAGAAGGGTGGCCAGCAGCAGCAGCAGCAGCAACAGCCACAGCAGCAGCAGCAGCTTCCTCCCCTCACCTCCCAGCAGCTCAATGACTGGTATGCTGGGCGTGGGGCGTCTCGGGGTTCTGACCGCTGCCCCTATGTCATTCGTACTGGCCCCCGCAAGGGTCGCCCCTGCAACGGTTTTCACACTGAGTATCGTTGTTTTGCTAGGCTTAGTGACGCCTGGCGTACTAAGTATCCTGATGCTACTGAGTTCCCCAACTGGGCAGAGCTGCTTAGGCGTGATGTGCCTATCTTTGATCTGGACTATGATGTTATTCTTGCTGCCATGTATGCATTGACTGTTAGTGCTGAGGGTGACTGCTACTTGTGTGTGCCGCCTGACCCCGGTATAAGGACTGCAGCCCTAGGTGCTAGTGAGTCTGCTCCCCTTGGTACTGAGTCGGCTCAGGCCTTGCACACGTTTACACTTGACTCTGGTGCTTCCCGCTGTTTCTTTCGCGATAGCACCACCGTCACTCCGCTCCCTGCACCTGTCCCTGTCTCCCTGGCTGACCCCTCTGGGGGCCCAGTGCTTGCACGCGGCACGACTGTGCTCCCGTGCCCGGCGGTCCCGTCTGGTGAGCTGTCAGGTCTCCTCGTTCCCTCGTTCTCTACGAACCTGGTGAGCAACGCCGTCCTCCAGGATCACTGGGTTGACACCTGGACTCCTGGAGGGCAGCGTGTGGCGATCTGCACGTGCTCCAAGACTGGCCGCCACCTGGCCACGTTCACTCGTGAGCCGGGGTCCAGTCTGTACACCCTCACCACTGTTTCACGCTCCGCTCCTTTGTCTCCGCAGCTGTACGCGTCTGCTCAGGTAGCTACCCAGTGTGAGTGCCGCCGCCTGTCGCACGACACGCTCCTGTGGCACCACCGCCTTGGTCACCCCTCCCTGCCTCGCCTTCGTAGCATGCACTCTCGCTCTCTGGTCTCTGGGCTTCCCAGGTCTCTGCCTGCCCTACCTCCCTCGCCTGCGCCGCCCTGCATTCCCTGCGTCGAGGGGCGGCAGCGTGCCGCTCCTCACTCCTCCTCGTTTCCTCCCACAGAGGCTCCCCTGCAGACGCTTCACCTGGACGTGTGGGGCCCAGCCCGCGTCCAGGGACAGGGCCGTGAGCGGTACTTTCTGCTGGTTGTCGACGACTTCACGCGTTACACCACGGTCTTCCCCTTGCGCAGCAAGGGAGACGTCCCTGCTGTTTTGATCCCCTGGATCCGCGCTGTGCGTCTCCAGCTCCGCGAGCGGTTCGAGCGGGACTTTCCTGTCCTGCGTCTGCACTCTGACAGAGGTGGTGAGTTCTCCTCTGACCTCTTGGCAGCCTTCTGTGCGGAGCACGGCATCACCCAGTCGTTCACGCTTCCGGCCTCTCCGCAGCAGAATGGGGTTGCTGAGCGCCGCATTGGCTTAGTCATGGAGGTCGCTCGTACCTCCATGATCCATGCGGCGGCTCCCCATTTTCTGTGGCCGTTCGCGGTCCGGTACGCCGCGCATCAGCTCAACCTCTGGCCCCGTGTCTCCTTGCCGGAGACCTCGCCCACACTGCTGTGGACGGGGGAGGTTGGCGATGCGTCGCGTTTCCGGGTCTGGGGTGCTCGTGCCTTTGTCCGCGATCTCACCGCGGACAAGCTCTCTGCTCGCGCCATTCCCTGCGTCTTCCTTGGTTTTCCTCCTGACGCGCCTGGCTGGCAGTTTTACGACCCCACCTCGCGCCGTGTCTTTGCGTCTCAGGACGTCACCTTTGACGAGTCTGTTCCCTTCTACCGTCTCTTTCCCTACCGCACTGTCTCTCGCCCCCCCCCCGCCGCTCTTTCTCGCTCCAGGTCCTCCCCAGGTAGACCCCCTCCCCGCGCCAGGTCCTGCTCCTTCAGGTGTTTCTCAGGTAGACCCTCCGGTACCTGCGCCTGTTGAGGTCATTGGTGACTCAGGTCCTGCTGGAGGTGGTCCTGCTCGGGGTGCTGTCTCTGGGGGTGCTGAGCCTGGGGGTGCGGAGCCTGAGCGAGAGGCGCCTAGAGGTGCTGAGCCTGGGGGTGCGGAGTCTGGGGATGCCGTGCCTGCGCGTGAGGAGCCTGGCGGTGCTGAGCTTGGGGGTGTCGAGTCTGAGGGTGCTGTGCCTGCGCGTGAGGAGCCTGGAGGTGCTGAGCTTGCGGGTGCCGAGTCTGCGGGTACTGAGCCTACGCGTGAGGAGCCTGGGGGTGCTGGCGCTGGAGGTTCTGGAGCAGCTGGGGGTGCTGGCGCTGAGGGTTCTGAGTCTGCTGTTGCGCGGTCTCCTTGGAGTAGCCGCCTTCGTCCACGTGTGCCTCTCACCCCACAGCAGCTGCAGGACTGGTACGGTCACCGTCAGCGTCGCGCTGCTGGAGCTAGGAGTGGTGCTGGACCTTTGTCTACTGGAGGTGCTGGAGTCGCTGGTTCTGGAGGTACTCGTACTGGAGACACTGAGGCTGGAGACCCTGGGACTGGAGGTGCTGGCTCTGGGGGTGCTGCTGCTGGTGACACTGAGGCTGGAGACCCTGGGACTGGGGGTGCTGGTTCTGGGGGTGCTACTGCTGGAGACACAGGGGCTGGAGACCCTGGGACTGGAGGTGACGACTCTGGGACTGGAGCTTCTGGAGCTGCTGGAGGTTCTGGAGCTGCTGGAGGTACTGGAGCTGCTGGGGGTACTGGAGCTGCTGGAGCTGCCGGTACTGATGCAGCTGCGCCGACACGACTGTTCTTCGCTCCGCCGTCTCCGTCGTCTCTGCCGCCGTCTGACTCTGTTCTTCGTCAGGTTCTTACTCTCCCGTCGTCTACTGGTCTTCCGTTACAGCCTGGCTCACCGCTGCCTGCTCCTTCTCCTTACACTGAGCAGACTGGTAGTCCTGCTGAGCGTCGTGAGCCTGTGTCGCGTCCTGTCTCGCCTGCTCGTCCCGGTCGTCGTGTTCCTCGTTCGCGTCAGCAGGCTGTCCCCAGCACACACCTCGTAGTTCGTCGTCCTTCCTCTGCTCTGCAGCCTGTTCCTCTTCCGTCTCCTCCTGCGTCCTCTCTACCTGACGTTCCGGACCCTGAGTCTGACCGGTTTCGTGCTGAGCACCCTACTGTCACGCGTCTGCTAGCCACTGTTGTCACTGACCCGTCGTTTGAGTCTACTGCTGCGTCTGCTCTTGTCGCTGAGCTTGTTGACTTTGCTGCTGCCTGTCGTCTAGACTACGCCGCCAGTCTTGTTGCTGAGTCTGCGCCTGTCTGTCCTCCGTCCGTCGAGGGTGAGTGTGCTCTTAGCACGGACGTCCTTGAGGACAGGCAGGAGGAGTTCCAGTGTCTTGCTGCTGCTTTACCTCATCTTGTGTCCTCGCTACTTGCCCCTGAGGGAGACCCGGATGCACCAGACATCCCGACTCCGCGCTCTTACGCAGAGGCGATAGAGAGTCCCTACTCCTCTCAGTGGCAGGCAGCCATGGACGCAGAGATGGCTTCCTGGAAGTCCACAGGCACCTATGTCGACGAGGTTCCCCCACCTGGGGCGAACATCGTCAGTGGCATGTGGATTTTCAGGGTGAAGCGGCCGCCGGGTTCTCCGCCTGTCTTCAAGGCGCGTTACGTGGCTCGAGGCTTCAGTCAGCGAGAGGGAGTTGACTTCTTCCAGACCTTCTCCCCCACCCCGAAGATGACCACTCTTCGGGTGCTGCTGCACGTTGCTGCTCAGTGTGACTACGAGCTTCACTCTCTTGACTTCAGCACAGCTTTCTTACAGGGCAGCCTGCACGAGGAGATCTGGCTGCGCCGCCCCCCGGGCTTCACTGGGTCGTTCCCTCCTGGCACCCAGTGGAGCCTCCGACGGCCGGTCTACGGTCTCCGCCAGGCGCCACGTGAGTGGCACGACACACTGAGGACGACACTTGCGGCTCTTGGGTTTGCGCCTTCTACTGCTGACCCGTCGCTGTTTCTGCGCACAGACACTTCACTGCCGCCGTTCTACATCCTCGTGTACGTCGACGACTTGGTTTTTGCCACTGCTGACACTGAGGCTCTCGCCCACGTGAAGTCGGAGCTACAGAAGAGACACACGTGCACTGACTTGGGTGAGCTGCGCAGCTACCTTGGCTTGCAGATCACCCGGGACAGAGCACGCCGCACCATCACCTTGACTCAGTCACACATGGTGCAGCAGGTCCTTCAGCACTTCGGCTTCACCTGGTCTTCAGCACAGGCCACTCCTCTGGCTACAGGTCACACGCTCTCAGCTCCACCTTCGGACGAGTCCGTAGAGCCGAGTGGTCCTTACCCAGAGCTAGTCGGCTGCCTCATGTACCTGATGACTTGCACTCGACCTGACCTCGCGTACCCTCTTGGTCTCCTCGCTCGCTACGTGGCTCCTGGTCGACACCGACCTGAGCACATGGCTGCTGCTAAGAGGGTACTGCGCTACTTGTGCAGCACATCAGGCATGGGGCTAGTGCTTGGAGGGACGAGCCCAGTTGTCCTCACTGGGCACTCAGACGCTTCTTGGGTTGACGACCTGGCTACTCAGCGGTCGTCACAGGGTTACACCTTCAGCCTTGGCTCTGGTTCAGTTTCGTGGCGTTCTACACGCTCGTCTTCAGTTCTCGGCTCCAGTTGTGAGGCTGAGATCTACGCCACCGCCATGGCTGCACAGGAGTTACGCTGGCTCACCTACCTGCTGACTGACTTGGGAGAGCAGCCTCGTTCTCCTCCAGTGCTGTACGTTGACAACAAGGCCGCCATTGCCTTGTGTGAGGAGCACAGACTGGAGCACAGAACGAAGCACATTGCTCTGCGTTACTTCCTGGCTCGAGAGTTGCAGCAGCGAGGCCAGCTTTGTCTTCGTTACGTGGCCACTCGGGCCAACACTGCTGATATATTCACCAAGGCACTTCCGTCTAGTGATCATCAGCGCTTTTGTACTCTGTTAGGCCTTGTGCCTACGCTTCCACACTTGCTGTAGTCTTTGCTTGTACTGTGATCTATATACATATATACCTGCATGCTGGCTCTTGCTAGGTAGCTCGACACTGTACTGTCATTGCTGCATATATATCTCTGCATGTGAACTGGCCTTGTGGCCATTTTCTTGTGCTCAGAATGTGTGGTGACGTTGTGATCCACCCTGAGCTTGTTTTGTTTCTCTTGACTGGTCTTGTGACCCATTGCTCTCCCCCACTTTGCCTATGGGGGTGTGTCAAATGATATATATGTGTGATACATATTGGTAGGCTGTAGTGGGGTAGATGTTATAGGGGATAATTCCTTAGGGTTGTGTTACTTGTAAAATTTCTCTCGATAGTCAACTTCACCTTGCCTAGCTATCTCAACCCAGTGGACCTCTGACACCCCCCCGCACTAGGATGCCCGAGGTGCACACACCGGGATTCGAACCCGAGACCTTCGCTCTGATACCATGTCAGAATCCCAGCCACTAACCACTGGGATAAAAGGGCTTGTTATAGTAGCGGGTGAGTGCGCCCATAACCCCCCAGGCCAACGTGCCTGTAACCCTTCCCTAGGATCAATCGGGGATCACCAGTGGACCTCTGACACACCTAACATTATAAGACCCCCCAATGCCTTGAAGACTACTCTTTGTCAACAAAAGCAATGAAAATTTGTCATTTTGCTTGTTCATCAAGGGACATCATGACCATTTACGCACATGCACACGCACCTAATCCTCATCCTGACCAGCAACCCAGGTTTCCACCTCCTCCCCGTCATATCGCCCTTCTGCCCACCACTCTTCTCCATCATCCTCCCACCACCCTCCAGCCCCCTCCTCCTCCGCGACCACACCTCCATCCTCCTCACCCTCCTCCTCATCCTCGTCATCCTCCTTGCCGTCCTCCTCGTACTCCTCCTCCTCCTCCTCCTCCTCCTCCTCCTCCTCCTCCTCCTCCTCCTCCTCCTCCTCCTCCTCCTCCTCCTCCTCCTCCTCCTCCTCCTCCTCCTCCTCCTCCTCCTCCTCCTCCTCCACTAGCTCTGCATCGCTGTCCTTGCTCGGGACGGCAGCACGGTCGGGGTAGAAAGGGTTGGAGATGAGCTCCTCCAGCTCCTCCTCGCACACATCCTCCAGCACCTCCACCTCCACCTTATCCCGGATGTGAGCGAGGGTCAGATGATCCTCGCTCCGTCGACGGCGGTGGAGATGCCGCAGGTGATGAAAGCGTTTTTCACCAGCTCTTCTGGGACATCGGCCCAGGCCTCTGCAATCCAGCAGAGGACCTTTTCCGGGGGGGGTTCTTCATATTCCCTGCATGAAAGGACACGGAAAGGGGCAGTCGTGAGTAAACCATAGGCAAGGCATGAAACGGGTTCAAGAGACATGCTCACCTGCACGAGTGAAAGACTCAATCCCCTCATCCTGGAACCACGAGAAGTAGCGGCGGCGAACCCCGGCTTTGAAACTGCGGTTGACCGAAACGTCCAGCGGTTGCACCAGCGGCGTGCAACCGCCAGGGATCACCGCGCGTGTGAGCTTGAACAACTTCATCGTCTGTCCGACCGCTTCCGTGGTGTGCTCGCGTTAGGAGTCGAGGATGAGGAGCGCATCCTTCCTCTGCCTTTCCTCTTCGCGAAGGGGCTTCAGGAACGGGACAAGAACATGCGTGGTCCAGTCTTGGACGAGTTTCTCATCCATCCAGCCCTTTTCCTGGGCTCGCACGACAATACATGCACAACAAACAAATGACGTTAGCGCTGGAATTCTTTCGACGGACCACAACTGAGCATAAACCAGTGCACACCTCACCTCGGCGAATGGTGATCTTCGGCAATGTTTTGCGCCTGAAGACCACGTACGGAGGGAGTTCCAAGCCGCCCGCCGTCACCGCCAGCATGACGGTGACGCGCTGCTTCTCAAACCCCGCGGTGCGCATGTGCACGGTACGAGCGCCTTTCATCTCGAGGGTGCGCTCGGCAGGCATTTCCAGGAACAGGAGTGTCTGATCCGCGTTCACGATCAGGTCGAGGGGGTAGTTGTTGACACACGCATCTGCCTCACAAACTCCTAGAAGGACTCGCACCTCTTCTTGCAATCTGCATCGCACATGTTAAGGGTGAGTCAGAACCGAAAGCTACGGTATGAAGGTACCGGAAAGTGGATATGCTGACGGGAATGAGTGAGATTTCTTACCTGCAGCAAGTCTCTACCCGATCTTCGTCTTCACGCGCTGCGCCAGGGACCAGCGCCTGCGAAACCTCTTGGTTCAACGGTGGGACGACCGCCACTTCTCCTGGGGATGGCAATGCTTCATGTAGGTCGTCGCCCGACTCTGCAGGAGGCTCACGGATACCAGAAGTCCTCTCCCACGGTGCGAAAGGAACCTGCGGTAGACCGCAACCTCCATTTGCGACCACTTGGGCTTTCGTCCCGCACCACTGAGGCGTTGGCGACAACCTGCCACGACTTCGAAGCGCTCCCTCAACTTGCGCCACTCGCGGATCTGCTTCGGCTGGACTTTGGCGAGCCTGGCCAAAGCCCGGACGCCCAAATCAGGCTGCGAGTCAAGCATCTTGAACCAGTACATTTTCTCTTTGACGGTGTAAGCTTTCCGCGCTTTCTTCGTCATTCGGCGCCTCGGCGATGACGTCTCTGCGTCATGCGCCCGCTTCTTCTAACCCCGCGGCCTACTAGATTCTGGAAAGACAGGAACCTTCACTTGCGGAAGCGGACGGCGAGGGCACTCGCTGTGCTCCTTATCTGCCGACTCGCTGGTAGAGGGACTTGGCGTTGGCAGGACGGGCCTAGGCGACGGCCTAGGTGCAGGAGGTTCACGGACTTTCTGGCGGCACCGGCGTCGAGGGGCCGACGTCCCAGCATCTGGGGATGTCACCATGGCGGCCTACGGGGGTACCACACGCGGCTAGCTTCGAGGAGAGCTCAAAATGCAACCGATGTCTATCTTTGAACCCCAGCCAGCCGAGCAAGGAGAGGGGAGAAGATACTGGAGGGAGAAATGAAAGACAGCCCACGCAAACAAAGACGTGCCAGCAACTTGGCGTAGAGGACGCCCTAACCAGGATCGTGCAGCTCGCACGAATCGTGCATGGGATGTGAATGTCAAACAATATGTACCCTGCGTGCTGTAGTTACTGTAGTTATTATTATTAAGAGTTGGTGGTGCACCTTCTTTGTTGCTTTGCTATATGTACCTTGAGTGCTATAGTGAAGCCCTTCTTCTTTCTCGTAACTCTCTTGGCACAACTCCCTCGACACCCCTTGGCCTAGGCTCCTAAGCCTAGGCCCTCCTAAACTCATACGTCCCTATCTTGACAGTGAAGGCCAAGGCGACACTGTGTGCTGGGGCCATCACACGATGCCCTTCTCGCTGATGTGGCCACCAATCACGTTTTGTGGCCAATGGGAGCAGGCTCCCAGCTAGATTTCGTGTTGACGTGGTTGGGATTCTCGTGAAGACACTTTCGCGTATTTTTTTAGGGTGCAATAAACGAAGCACATCCAATTTACTTTTTTGGTCTCAGAAATATGCGTCTTACAAAAGACATTTTGTACAGATCCGGGTCTTATAATTAATATGCTTAAAATTAGACCCCCCTACCTTTTTGGGTGCGATTATGATAAGACCCCCGGGTCTTATATCCGGGGGTTTACGGTAGATCACAGTACAAGCAAAGTCACGCAGTGAGCAAGTGAGACGAAACAGGCACAAGGCCTAAAGTTGTTGTGTGATGCTATCATTCGCAATCACGTCTGTCTGCCTCCCATCATGTGTTCGTGCGTTGCATGCGTGGTGTGAGCGTGTGCAAGAATTTGTGTGCGGTTTGGATTTTCAGGGTGTGTGTGACTGTGATCTGGCTTGAGCAGATATTTTAAATGAATCCTCAGCTCAAGAGCTTTCCGACGAGCCAAGAATCGTCGCAATCGGAAACCATGGGAGGTTGTGGTGTTGACTCCATAAGGGGTATAGACTTTTGGGGTTGGGAAATTCAAAGCTTTCATTGTAGATGCTGCCATGTGGTTGGGAGAAGCCAAACCAGGTTGGCAAGTGTGGCCAAGTTGGGGTGAGGTGGATGGCATGGGTTGGAAAGTGACAAAAAATAAAAGTGGGGTTGCCTATGGGGAAGGGAATTGTGTGGCATGGGGTTTCCTTGGTTGGGGACTCCCTTGGGACCTTCCCTCTCGTCCTCCTCTTCCCTTCCATCTGGTTTCTAGCTACTCTATCTTCCTTGTGTGTAACTTGAGAACTTGTGAAACCATTGTGATTGAGTTGAGATTCTGTGGCAGCATACCCCCTAGTGCGCCGAAATTAATATCTCGCGAAATACTCCACCTTTTCATGTGATTCAACTTGGGAATTGTAGCCACGGTCTAGAGCTATAACACACTCGGTTTTAGTGAGATTCCAACAGTGATATTTTTGTCGACGACGTTTCTTGTGAAGTCGCGGTTTCTGTCCAGAATTCTAAGCCAACGATTTTGTGATATTTCGGCCCCTAAACGTTCTAGACTCAGTCCTTAGTCTCTAACAAGTGGTATCAGAGCTGATTAAGGACTTTGTGAGGAGTCTACTGAAGTATGAATTCCCTCTTAGACCCACCATGGCCTGTGGGCGTGCCTAAGTGGAGTTCTAGAGGTTGGGAGTGACTTCCGCTAAGGGGAAACTCTGCCGAAATTTCGTTGGCGCCGACACTTGTGAAGATTGTGTGGATCTACATTGTGACCAGCAAAGGGGGGAGCTGAAACCTCTGATTGGGAGCAGAGGAGATGAGTCAAGGGAGTGGAGAAGTAGCTGAGAAAAGGAGTGAGCCGCCACCATCCAAGATTGAGGCGTTGGATGGCTCCAACTAGGTGGAATGGAGCGGGCGGATGAGGAGCGTCTTCAAGCGCTACAAGCTGCTGAAACTCGCGATGGGAGAAGAGAAAATGCCCGAGGAAGGAGATGCCCGCGATCGGTGGATTGAGAAGAGCGCGGTGCTGTTTGAATTTATTCTACAATCGGTCAACAATGACATGTTCCAGCACATCAAGGATTTGGTGGAGCTCGATGCCTCCGGACCGAAGGCGTGGAAACTACTGCGCGATGTGGTTCAGCCCAACACGCTGCCGATGGTGATTGTGTTGGAGAAGGAGCTGGCTGCCCTCTCCATGCGGCCGGGAGACGATGTGAAGCCGGTGCTTGACAAGATCAAGGACACCTATGCGAGGATGGCAGCGGCGGGCAGCAAGGTGTCGGAGATGCAGCAGTGCACCAAGATCATCTCGGTGCTTGACAATTCGTGGGACAACCTCATCCCCACCCTCAACGTTCAGCAGGACAAGTGGACGCCTGAGTGGCTACGGGCAGTAGATCCTGCAGGAGGACTTCCGCAGGCGCCACACGGGAGGTGGTGCTGCCAACAAAACTGCTGAGGGATATGGAGCTGCAGGAGGCAGCAGAGGAAGAGGGGGAGGGAGAGGCCGAGGCCGTGGGAGAGGCTTTGGCAGAGGGAGAGGCCGAGGTGACTACAACGAGGGGCATGGAAGCTCTGGTGGCAGGGGGAGGACCCGAATGGAGGGTGCATGCTGACACTGCAAGAAGGCTGGACACCCGTGGTTCAAGTGTTTCAGCCGGCCTGATGGATCGGTGCCTCCAGGCATGAAGCCGCCAAGTGGTGAACGTGCACGAGGTGGCGCTGTGCAAGGTTCAGGTGCACAAGGTAAAGTTGACCCTGGGATGTTCCTCATGGTTGAGGATGTGAAAGAGAGTGAGGATGATGTGGGTTCAGTTGGGAAGGTTGTGATGCACCCCCTCACTCACTGGGTGATCGATTCTGGTTGCACGAGTCACATGACTCCGCGGGCAGATTTGCTTGATGAGGTGAAACCCCCTGGGAAGATCAAGTTTGTGGCTGCCGCTTCAGGTGCTTTACTCCCTGTGATTGGTGTTGGGAATGCCAAGGTGATGGGAGCCAATGGAAGACTTGTCGAGCTTGGGAATGACCTACTTGTTGAAGGTTTCTCCGCTAACCTCCTCTCTGTGCACCAGCTGCAGAAAAGCAAGGCCAAAGTTACGTTCGGCCCAACCAGCTGCCGTGCAAAGCTTGGGAAGTTGCTGTTGTGGGATCTGGAGGAGAAGAGCAGCTGCATCAAGGACCTGTGGCAGCTGCCCATTATCCCTTGGAACGGGAAACCACCAGCAACGGCAAAGGCAGCTGTAGCGGCTAAGGCAACTGCGGGAGGAGAGGAGACTGCACCAAATGCTGGGGCCCTGGATGCGGTCAAGAAGGTGCAGCAGCCACAGCAACC